CGTGCAGTTACGCGTAATAATTTTCATATCGTGTAATTTCGCAGGATTACGCGTAATTGGGGAAATATTCATTTCGCGAAATTACGGCGTAATTTCGCGTAATTTCTACAACGTAATTTCGCGAAATTTCGTAATGATTACGCGTAATAAGCGAAACTATAACTACGCATAATTACGGCCTAATTTCGCGTAATTTCTACGAGGTAATTTCGCAAAATTTTGTATTAATTGCTCGTAATTAGCAAAACTTCAATTTCTACAAAGTAATTTTGCGAAATTTTGCAATAATTACGTCTATGAAATTTTGAAGTTTTAACTTTTAATTTAAATAAAACAACTAACTTACAAGGAAAAAAATGTCACGCAAGTTGAATCAGAATTTCAGCCAATACATAATCTATAAAATTTTTAATTTTCAACGACTTGTTAATATTTCAACCTACTTTCTCAAGTTTACCTTCCTTGTTTGAAAAAAAATGTCAATAAAATCGTCAAAATATTTTTGACATGGTTGTAGCGGGCATCCTTACACATACTTTCCCGCAATAATTATTTCTGAGAATTAATATGTACTTAATTTATTACGGAATTGTTTCGTATTACGTAATTTCGCGTAATTACGCCTTAATTACGCGAAACTAGTCTTTCTTCCGTAAACGCAATAAATGCGTAATTACGCGTAAGTGAAAGAAAGTGTTACCCGTAATTACGCGTAACGTAATTACGACTGGAAACCCTACCTTGAATCCTTTATCTGATATAAAATGTGGAATATACCGTCGTTTATCCTGTCTCGAAAAGTGTTCCATTCTAAAAACTTCGCCATTGCTTCTTATGAGCAAGATACCTTTTCAGAGAACCCGCAATTAATAATAAACAATTTAAAGATGCAAAAACATGAACATCTAATTGATACTTGATCAGACAAAGATGTTAAGGGTACCTTGGTATATCGGACATCGCTATCTTAAAAAATGGAAGGTTGCACTTGAAATTACGCTTACAGCCCCTTAAAGACCGACAAAAATATTTTTGAGTAAAAATTTAGAGATTTGTGTTCCATCAAAAATATATAATCCTAAAAATGTATATTTGTGTTTGCGTTTTGCATTTAGATTGTGTATTGCACAAGGAAATAAATATTTTATGAAAATTAGAAATCCTAAATTTTGTGTAAAATTTATTTTGTCCAAATCCTGCGTAATTGTTGCAATAAATGTTCGTTTCTATCTATATTCTACTGTAATAAGCATATAATAGGGAGCAATTCTTTTATATAATATCCTCAATTTATTCTGACTTCCTTATTGCTCAATCCTGCCTCTGGCTATATCCTTCCTTAACCCTTTCCGGGCGGAGATGGGGGGGGGGGTAATTGATCCTACCATTTTTCAACATTACTCAAAATCCGCTTGTGTTGCACCATATGAAGCATTTCGTTTCATAGTTTCTACTTTAATCTTATTTTACTCTTTAATTTCACCTGATCCTATGTCTATTTTTTCCTACTTCAATCTTATCCCAATTTAATCTTATCCTATTTTAATCTTATCCTACTATAATCTTATCCTAATTTAATCTTATCTTACTTTAATCTTATCCTACTATAATCTTAGCCTACTATAATCTTATCCTACTTTATCATATCCTACTTTAAACTTATCCTAATTTAATCTTATCCTAATCTAATCTTATTCTACTTTAATCTTATCCTACTTTAATCTTATCCTACTTTAGTCTTATCCTACTTTAATCTTATTCTACCTTAATCTTATCCTAATTTGATCTTATTCTACTTTAATCTTATCCTACTATAATCTTATCCTACTTTCATCTTATCCTACTTTAATCTTATCCTACTTTAATCTTATCCTACTTTAGTCTTATCCTACTTTAATCTTATTCTACTTTAATCTTATCCTAATTTGATCTTATCCTACTTTAATCTTATCCTACTTTAAACTTATTTCTAATTAAATCTTATCCTACTGCAAACTTATCCTACCTTAATCTTATTCTACTTTAATCTTATCCTACTTTAATATTATCCTACTTTAATCTTATCCTACTTTAGTCTTATCCTAATTTAGTCTTATCCTACTTTAATCTTATTTTACTTTAATCTTATCCTAATTTGATCTTATCCTACTTTAATCTTATCCTACTTTAAACTTATCCTAATTAAATATTATCCTACTGCAATCTTATCCTACTTTAAACTTATTTCTAATTAAATCTTATCCTACTGCAAACTTATCGTACTTTAATCTTATTCTACTTTAATCTTATCCTACTTTAATCTTATTCTACTTTAATCTTATCCTACTTTAATCTTATCCTACTTTAACCTTATCCTACTTTAATCTTATCCTAATTTAATATTATCCTACTTTAATCTTATCCTAATTTAATATTATCCTACTTTAATCTTATCCTAATTTAATATTATCCTACTTTAATCTTATCCTAATTTAATATTATCCTACTTTAATCTGGTCATCATTAACATTAACATGATCGAGCCGCGAAACCTTAAAATAGTAAAACATTTATTTTTTGTTATTTAGGACACATACTTAAACTTGCAGTTTTAATAACCCCTGGACTAATAGATATATAAAAAATATGTTTTTAAACCTTGCCTTGAAAAATTGGGCTATAAAATAAATATTGAACATGTATTGTAACTTCCTAATTTATAAACTAAATTTACATATCTATGGTAAATTGGTATAAGTTAGCAATTATTTAAAACCAAAGCTGGAGAGTCTACAAGGTATTTAAAATGAATTCAATTCCATTCATAGAAACATGGATATATGTATTGTACACTATACTACATATTTAAGTCCTTACATTTCTTGGAATATAGAAATATTTGCAGGTTGTTTGGAAATGGTTTCTTATTTAATTTCTAAATATTTAGCATCTTTAATAGATTGAGGAAAGTTTCCGTAAAATATTTAAAACCCTACTTAGAACTCATGATAATTTGTTCAGAATTAAGAATATTCACTTTGTGAGTTGAAACCAATGCCAATGCAATTCATAACTTCACTGATCTACTTTAATATTCCAATATACGTTATAAACACACAACTATTAATTAGCTAGCTATTTTACTCCAAAATCAACTAAGTTATGAAATTAAATCTGATATTAAACTGAGACTCTCAATAAACATGAGGAAAATGAGAGGTGATTCATCGTCGGCTTAATATTCATTGTGATTTTTTAAAAATTGATTCAAAGTAATATTTAGGTTGTGTGAGAAGAAAAGTAATATTTAGGTTGTGTGAGCAGCTGAGTAATATTTAGATTGTGTGAGAAGCAAAGTAATATTTAGATTGTGTGAGCAGCAAAGTAATATTTAGATTGTGTGAGAAGCAAAGTAATATTTAGGTTGTGTGAGCAGCAAAGTAATATTTAGATTGTGTGAGAAGCAAAGTAATATTTAG